TTTGCTTTAAACAATTTTTTTTTGTTAGGCAATTAAGGTGAGAAAAGAGTTATCTTATTTTTGGTAACATTATAACCTCTTCAACTGCTCTTCATTTCTTCCTATTGATCTGATTTTCATCTAGTATTTCCCTTCAAGCTAAAGAATATCTTCATTTCTTGTGCAGAGATCTGGAAATAAATTTTCTGATTTTGTTTACCTGAAATTACCTCTATTTTCCTTAGTTTCCGAAGATATTTTCACTGGATATAGAATTCTAGGTTGTAAGAATTTGCTTTTCTTTCTGCATGGCCTTCATTGCTTCTGATAAGAAAGTCTGTTATTTTTTATTGTTGTTTTCTCTGTGTAATGTGTCTTTTATCTTTGGCTGCTGGCAGAGTTTTTCTTTGGTTTTTAGCAGTTTAAAAGCAATTGGGCTGTGTTGTGTGGGTGTGTGATGTCAGTTGGGATTTGCTGAGTTTCTTGTTTTTAATAAAATTTTGGAAATTGTTGTCAATTATTTTTTTGCCATACTATCTCTTCTCTCCTCTGGGACTGTAAATACATGCATATTAGTCTAATTGTTTGATATTGTCCCAGTATCAAGGGACCTCTCTTCAAATTTCATAAATCTGCAGTACCTAATTTGCTATTTTTCTTTTTTTTTTTTTTTTTTTTTTTAAAGGAGGCATGCTTTATTTATTTATTTGTTTGTTTGTTTGTCTGTTTGGTTACACATGCACTGGGTACAGTCAGAAGCGCGGGAGGGCGAGAGAATTCACCAGAGTCAGAGTGGGGAGCAGAGCAGGCAGAAGGACCGAAGCACACTGCTGAGGGGAGCAGCGGGCGACAGGAGAGGTCTGCGCGCCATGTGGGACCCTCCTCTGGTGGCCGGGGAGCAGCCGGGGATCGAACCGGCGCTGCAGAGGCTGCGGGCAGCTTCTCAACCCAGCGCTCAACCGCTGCGCCACCGGGGAGGCCCCTAATTTGCTATTTTTCTTAATGATCGTTTTTTAAAAAAATTTCAGATATTATATTTGAAATTCAGAGATTTGGTTTTCATTTTTTATGTTTCCATAATTCTAAAATGAAAATTCCCCATATCTTCACCCACTACATACTTTCTTATAAGATTCAAAATATATTTATAATAGGGCCTCCCCTGTGGCGCAGCAGTTGAGGGCTGGGCTGCGAAGCTCTGCGGCACTGGTTCGATCCCCGGCCGCCCGGAGAGGGTCCCACATGGCTCGCAGACCTCTCCTGCTGCCCGCTGCTCCCCTCAGCAGTGTACTTCGCCAGTCTGCCTGCTCTGCTCTCCCCTCTGGCTCTGGTGAATTCTCTCACCCTCCCGCGCTTCTGACTGTACCCAGTGCTTGTATAAATAAATAAATAAATCTTTAAAAAAACCAAATAAATAAATAAATAAAATAAGAAAAAGCAAATAGAGCAATGATAGGTTTAAAAAAAATACATATTTATAATAAATCCTTGTTTAGTAATTCCAACACCTGGGATATCTCTGGGTCTGCTTCTGTTATTTTTTCCTCCTGGTAAGTGTCATATTTTGCTGCTTCTTTACATATCTAGTATTATTTGGTTGTATACCAGATATTGTGGATAGTAGTTGTAGAAACTCTAAATCCTCTTATTTTCCTTTGAAGAGTGTTGAACTGTGTCCTAATAGCCGTAAAATTACTGACACATCACCTTGATAGTTGAGAGGTTTGGTTTTAGTCTTTGTTAGGGTTAGCCTAGTGCCATGTTGCCCTTCTCCTGGGAAATGGTCTTCATCCTGAGGTGTGGCCCTCTGGGGTTTCAGTAGAAAACGCAAGGTATTTTACAAGCTCTTCTAACTTGGTGGACCTTGAACTCTTAATCTTTCTCCCATTACTGGGAAATAGCTGATATCTCTGTTTAGCATTTTTGGCCTTCAGTTCTTACCTCCTTGAAATCACCCCACATATACACACTTTATGACCAAGATTCTAAGGGGAGTCTATGCCAAATCTGTGGCTTTCCTTCTTCATTTTCCAGTCATGTGGCAGCTGTGCACGCTGACCCATAACTTCTCAGCTCCAGAAAGCTTGCTTCTGCTTGAGATCTGCCCCTGTGGAACATGGACTTGAAATGCCCTGAGAGAAAAAGCAAGTTAAATGTGCCTCTCACCTTGATTGCTTCTCTTCTTTTAAGGGTTGTAACTACTCTGGTTGCCTGTTTAGGGTACTTTCTGGTGCTTTCAAACAATGTTTTAAAAATATTTTGTCCAGAGTTGCTACTGGTGATCAGAAAGAATGTCTGTTACAAGCTACTCTGTCATTACTGCAAGCAGAACTCACCCAAATATATTAATATTTAAGTTAAAAAAATTTTTGTGCCCTGTTTTTCTGGATCACTAAGTGCATATTTAGACTTCATACTGGATAGACCAGTACTGTAGTTTGGTTGTCCTGAGCATTTACTTGATTTAATTTAAATTTCACTAAACAATCTGGTAAATTATGGTTCCCAGTGGCTATCAAGGTTTCAGAGCCCAAAAATAGGTTCTTAAAAATGACTACATCTTCAGTGTTCCATTAAAGTTTGAAATAAACTTTATCTTCTGAGCTAAGCAATACATTCTCATGTCTCAAAACTGTAAAAGTAAAAAGAATATACAATAGAAAGCTTTTCTCTCTCCCCTCTTGCATGTGTTTTTAAAATTGACTGCTACATTTTTAATCTCTTGCATTATATAAGCAAATTGGTTGTAACCTGTCATTATCCCCTGAGCTCCTTGACAAAGAGTTTTTTAAAAACAATAAATGATATCCTCCAGCAGGAATGCTCACAGAGGAAGGCATCAATTTAATTTAATTCTGCAAACATTTACTGAGCCATACAGGGAGCCCAGAATAATGTTAGTTATTGTGGAGCAGAAACATGAGTCTCATGGTTGAAAGTGTGCTTCTGTTAATTAGAAAGGAGAAGAGAGTAGAATGAAGGACTATTTGTAAGGAAATCTGATGCCTTCTACTTGACCCAGTTGGAGGAGCTGGTAGAAAAAGGTTCCGCCCCTGTCCAGCTGACGCCTGGAGTTAATGTTATATTCTTGGCCCTGTCTTGCTAACGGGGTGTCTCTCTAGCTCAGCAGCAACTCTGTTTACAGCCAAGTACAGCACAGCGTCCAAGAACTTTGCTGGAAGCTCATTGTCTAGTTTACAGTTCTTAGCAGAGAGAAAAAGCTAAGTCAAGTCAGAATGTTGAGCTATATACAGTTTACAGCCAAGTCTGAAAGGGCTGAATCCCCCTCCCAGAAGCTGAAAAAGCATGAGTGTCCACAACAGACATACTGGAAAGATGCTGAGTGAACCCACAGAAGCAACAGCATATTCTCCATACTCCTGTGGCCACATTTTCAGGTTCCCACAAGGGCTGGGCTAGGTAGGGCAGGGTAATGTGTACATGGTGGGAGGGACCTAATGGTAGACCTGGGGTGTTTGTTAGGAATTTGGGAGTATTGCTGAGGATGAGTAGAAATGATTATCGTTGGTCAGGTTTACATCTAGAGGCCTTTGTTCCTTTGCAGGAATTTCAAATGGAGAATACTTGACATTTGAGCTGCTCTTGGGCAGAAAACTTGTCCACTTTATTTTTTTTTTAATTTATTTATACAAGCACTGGGTACAGTCAGAAATGTGGGAGGGTGAGAGAATTCACCAGAGCCAGAGCGGGGAGCGGAAAGGCAGACAGGCGAAGTACACTGCTGAGGGGAGCAGCGGGCGGCAGAAGTCTGCGCACCATGTGGGACCCTCGCCAGCCGCTGGGGATCGAACTGGCGCTGCAGAGGCTGTGGGCAGCTTCGCAGCCCAGCGCTCAACCCCTGCGCCACTGGGGAGGCCCAAACTTGTCCACTTTACATGCTGCCTTTTCCACTGGACCTCAAGATGGGATTTGGGACCTGTGGCTGCCACAGAGCAGCAGGCCATGCCATTCTGCTTTGCTACAGGTGGCAAGCCTACTGAGGGCTTTTGAAATCTTAACTGATCCTCTATTCAAATGCTCAAAACAAAATTAACTCATAAGCACCTTTACTTCCTGTGATAAAATTCTCCAGAAAGCAAATGGTGAATGGAAATTTACTGTACAGTGTCCACAATTATTTCCGTGGAGATGTGTACGGTCACTGATCTATTTAGCAGACTGTCCTTATGCCTTAATTTTAGTGATTGTTAAAGGAAACAAAACCAAAAAAAAGATTGCTAAGCTTTTGTTTCATTCCCAACCTCCTGTTCCCTAATCCCCCCTTCTTCCTTGAGGCTAAATTCATTCAATGGAGGTTTTCAGGAACTGAATTCTTATGGTGGGAGAGACTGGAGCAGCACCAATAGAAATGTAATGGAAGCCGCAAATGCTAAATTTTCTAAGCAGTCCCACTGGAAAAAAAAAAAAAAAGGTGAAAAGAAATGTTTGACATTCATTTAAATTTAGCCCAATAGACCTAAAGTATCTCACCATGTAGGACGTGTAAACATTTTTGACGAGGTAGGCTCCCTTTGGGGTACTAGGTCTTTGGGACCTGGGGTGTATTTTACCTTTATAACACAGCTCAGTTTCGAACTGGCGACATTTCAGATGCTCATTAGCCGCCTGATATGGCCAGTGGCCGCGGTGTGAGGCCGCACAGAGCTCGAGTGTAGGCCACAGCGCTGCCCTCGAGGTCCCCCTACGCATGCAGACAACGACCCTGTAGGCTGAATTCTGGGAGAGCACCAGGGATGTTGCACACAGCGAGGGGTTTGGAAAGAGATCAGATGCCGGGAATCCAGCTGGGTTTTGTCGATGAAGATAACTGGAAAGCAGAGGAGGGCTTCGTGGGTGGGGAAACCGGCCCTTTGAGGACAGGCTGTGCGGGAGGTCTGAGACTCGGTGGATGGCAGCTTTTTGCCACACCGACCGGTAGAATTCTACCTGGGGCGACCCTTTGGCTGACAGTTGCTCCTTTTTTTGTCTTTTCTCTCCCTTTCCCGCCGCCCTCACCCCAGCGGTGGTCCTCGGCCTACCCCGAGCCCGGGCCACAGGCACGGACGCCTGCACGCGCGCCTGCCCCGCCGCCTGCTCCTGCAGCGGCCTGGAGCGCGGCTGCTCTGTGCGCTGTGACCGCGCGGGCCTCCGGCAGGTGCCCGCCGAGTTCCCGTGCGAAGCTGCCGCCATCGATCTGGACAGGAACGGCCTGCGCTTCCTGGGCGAGCGGGCCTTTGGCACGCTGCCGTCGCTGCGCCGCCTGTCGCTGCGCCACAACAACCTGTCCTTCATCACGCCCGGCGCCTTCAAGGGCCTGCCGCGCCTGGGCGTGCTCAGCCTGGCGCACAACGGCGACCTGCGCTACCTCCACGCGCGGACCTTCGCCGCGCTCGGCCGCCTGCGCCGCCTGGACCTGGCCTCGTGCCGCCTCCTCAGCGTGCCCGAGCGCCTCCTGGCCGAGCTGCCCGCCCTGCGCGAGCTCGCCGCCTTCGACAACCTGTTCCGCAGCGTGCCAGGCGCCCTGCGCGGCTTGGCCAACCTGACGCACGCGCGCCTGGAGCGCTGCCGCATCGAGGCCGTGGCCTCCGGCTCGCTGCTGGGGCTGCGGCAACTGCGCTCGCTCAGCCTGCAGGACAAACCGCGTCTGCGCCGTGCACGGCGGCGCCTTCCGCGACTGCGGCGCCCTGGAGCACCTGCTGCTCAACGACAACCTGCTGGCGGGGCTCCCGGCCGACGCCTTCCGCGGCTTGCGCCGCCTGCGCACGCTCAACCTGGGCGGCAACGCGCTGAGCCGCGTGGAGCGCGCCTGGTTCGCCGAGCTGGCCGAGCTGGAGCTGCTCTACCTGGACCGCAACCGCATCGCCTTCGTGGAGGAGGGCGCCTTCCAGAACCTGTCGGGCCTCCTCGCTCTGCACCTCAACGGCAACCGCCTCACCGTGCTCGCCTGGGCCGCCTTCCGACCCGGCTTCTTTCTAGGCCGCCTCTTTCTCTTCCGCAACCCCTGGTGCTGCGACTGCCGCCTCGAGTGGCTGCGGGGCTGGATGGAGAGCTTGGGGCGCGTCGCCGACGTGCCGTGCGCCTCTCCGGGCTCCGTGGCTGGCCTGGACCTCCGCCAGGTGGCCTTTGGTCGCTCCTCCAGTGGCCTCTGTGTGGACCCCGAGGAGCTGATCCTCTCCGCGTCCAGTTCAGGCCCGTCCCCAGGGCCGGCGGCCACCACCGCGAGCAGGTTCAGCAGCCTCCTCTCCAAGCTCCTGGCTCCCAGGGCCCCAGCGGAGGACGTGGCCAACACCACCGCTGGGCCCGTCAACGCCTCGCTGTCCAACGGCCTTCCCCCCCGTGGGGTGGGGGGCTTGGGCCGTCAGCCCGCGCTTCTCCTGGGTTCTAGTCTCCTGCTCGGTGTGGTCCAGCACGGGGTGTTTGCCCTGCAGGTAGACTGACCCTGCCACACTGGGGTGACCCCAACTGCCTTGGGCAGTGGGGGAGTTTAGTTAACTGGGCTTGGGGGTGTCTGTGGAGGGGGACGAGGGGGAACAGGATGGGGCAGGTGGTGAAAATTCCAGCGGAGGGTGGAAGGAACAGTTTGCTTCCAGATGGCCTTAGGAAGAGAACGCGGGGAAATGCCACGCGAGGGAGGGGGGGGGGAATTATGGATTTTTGCTCATGTCACATGGGCAGTAATTGGAAGAGAGCAGAGGAGCAGGGATGAACACGGGCCCTTCGATTACAAGGCTCAGCATTGTCAGCTCCACCTTCCCCTCCCTCCCCCCATCTTTCAGGAAAGGGCATGAAACTCCGGGAATTCGAGTCAAACCGTTGGCTAAGTGCTAAGAGCTGTGCCAGTTCTCCTGACTGGGTGACCCATTAAACCCAATTCCTTTGTTTTCTATCACAGTCCTCCCTCCGCTCCCCCTGGGGCCTGGGGGCACCGGGGTCCAGGAGGATGAACGGGGCAGGAGAGAAGGGGGTTAAGAGAGAGACTTACGCTTACGTGGGCGGCGTCTGAAATGTATTAGCAGGCTTCCAAAACAAACATTCATTTAATTCACTCCACACTTATTCCCAGGGGTGGCCTTAGCTGCAAAGGAACTTTAGGGCAGTTTCAGGGGAAAAAAAGGGGGGGGCAGTAGTGTTGGTGGACAAATAAATTTGTAAAATCAGAAGACTGAAAGGAAAAAGGTTAAACCGGTTTCTCTACTGCAGGACTTTGCAGAGTCTTTCATATGCAAACATGCTTTGTGAATCTCCAGGGAGACCACTAAATCCTCTTTTCTTAGCATTTTGTGGGAAGTGTCCTAAAGACACAGAGATACTATGTTAGCAGGGCAGGGAATCTCCAACTTGGATGACCCCATTAGGTGTGGAAATTATTATGAGTTGCACCCTTTGGTGCTGACTAAGGGCCTAAAGGAAAGGGAGGCAGCCAGTAACCGGGAGGGGGGCTGAGAGATTTCCCAGGGTAAATGTAAGCCCCCAGGCCTAAGTTCCAGAGCAAGTTTGTTTGTCTGCCAAATATTTGCTCAGGCTGTACCTCACACACATGTAATGACCAAATTAGTCAACATTCTGGAAATCTGTAATCTGAGTGTCCTGAGTTCCTCTCTTTGTGTATGAAGAGATGGGTTTTCAGAGTCGCGTGGATTCAGGGTGCCCCAGGCCATTGGATTTGTCATGGCGACAGCACTTCTTCTGTGTCTCTAGGTAGTAGTAATAGGTGTCACAGAAAGTACCATGGAGGGCAGGAGTGTCAAATGGGTTGTGACCGTTAGTGATCGGCAACTCAATTTAGTGGATTCAAACCAGCAATTTAAAAAAACAAGATAGAACAGAATGGAAAAGTCAGAACATCCCATGTAATCTTATAAAAGTATTGTTTTGTGAAACCTTTTAATTTGTATGCATTTGTTCAGATTCTGTATGTATGTATGTGTGTGTACTGGATTGCTATGTACAATTTATATTTTATTGTGGGTTATGGTTTAAAAAGTTTGAAAGTCACTAATCTGGAGCATGCATGATTTTTTAAGCTTTTCATTTTGCAAAATATTAACCCAACAGGAAAGCTGCAAGAACAGTAGAGTGAACACTTTGGCCATACCCAGTTTTCCCAGTTGTTAACATTTTACTGTATCTGCTTTCTCCATATTATTATTATTTCTTATTAACAAATTGAGTTATTTGCACATACCCCTAAATACTTTAGCATGTATTTCCTAAGAACAAGGACGTTCTCTGATCCACAGTACCACGATCAAAATCAGGAACTTTATCATTGCTAGAATACTGTAATTTAAAATATACTCTATATTGAAATTTCTTCTTATGTACAAAACATTGCATTATATCATACACATTTCAGGTGGATGTTGATCTTTCAACAATTGTCCACATAATTTTTTAAGCAGTCATTCTTTTTCCTATGGGTGGAAAACTGGATTCCTAAGTTGTGACTTGTTTTCATTTGATCATGATATTCAAAACTCCAAATCTATCAAGTGCTTTTAATGATTCATAGTGCATTTGTTCTCCAAATGTCTTACTTTTCAAATATGAGAACTACATGAGGCCAGAAATGTTGTTTGTTCAAACCATGTGTTGTGGCCATGGTAACTGAGTGAGGATCACGAGAATCCTGGAGACTAGATCTCTGCATTTGGGTAACCATGGAAGTCCACAGCAGACATGCAGCCCGGGGTTACTGAGGAACAAGATGTGGTCCTGGGAGGAATGTCTTTCCTTTCATTTGGAGTGGGGTTCCTGAGAATCAGCCTCAGAATGCTGCTCCAGTTCTGCCTGGGTGGTTAGAGGGGCCAGCTTTTTAATGAACATTTGTTTGGCTGAATGTTTTTGAACAAGTATCAACACTGAAATAGCCTCCGGGGAGACAGATTTTTATGGAGCTACTCAGCCCAGTAGAATTCTGGGAACGTGGGAGTTACTGCCAAACAGATCCAGAGTTGCTGGAACTAGTTCCCAGTGAATTGTGCCCATTATAAGCTCTCCTGAGAGAACAGGGAGTGGAGAATTCCCAGTTTTGAGTTCATTGAGTCTCTCACCCAATCACTGGCTAATTAGTACCTTGGGAAATTTTAGGTACTGTGGATTTGGCTGAGTAAAATTACATGTACCTGTCAGGAGAGATCATGTTATGCTGTGGTAACAAACAACCTCCATTCCTCAGTGGCTTAGTGAGGGTTATTTCTTGTTCATGTCACATGTCCAATATGGGTTTATGGGGGTTGGGGTGTTGGGGGTGAGGACTCTACTCATTATTGCCCCTCAGGGACCTAGGCTGTTGAAGGAGCTGCCATTTTAGGACACTTATCTGGACACTGGCTCTAGGGTTTGCTGCAGCAGAGAAGGAAAGTTGGGAGAATCATGCATCGCTGTTAAATGCTTCTGCCCAGGTGTGGCATACACGTTGTTTCTCGCATTTCATTAACCAAAAAACGACACACTTAACTTTATTGAGACAGGGAAGTATGGTCTGCCCGTATGCCCAGAGAGAACTGGGAATACTGGGGAACACCAATAGTACTCTGTGGCACTGGGTAGCTCCCCTGATAGATTCAAGCCTGGACTTCCTAGAACTGCCAGAAGAAATAGAGGCTTGACAGGGAAAATTGGTGAGCCAGACACTAACCAGTCTTTCCACCAGCACCCCAGCTGGGCTTTGAACAGTGTTTTCTGTAGGCAATAGGAACACTTTGGCTCCATTTTATTGAGTCTTTCAAAAACAAGGAGTAAATGTAGCGACAGAGGTTTACATTTTCCCCCTTCCAAAATATTCTCCATACAAATACCTTACAGTGTTCAAATCTCTGGAAGCTTGATCTTTGGACAATATTCTCTCTCAGAAAGGCCTGTGGCTGTTTCTAAGAGGTCTGACTGGGATGATTTCATGAGGATGGTCAACAGCCCTCCAGCCCACCCACCTCTTAGGCTGCTAAAATGCAGCCCTCTAGAGGGCAATATCTGTTGGATGTGGCTGCTGGCAGAATGCACAGATCCTACCAGGTCAGGGCCGCTTCCCAGCTCCCTCCTCCATCCACACACTAGCCTTGCTGTCTTTCTGAGACCAGACTCCAAGGGTGGACTTTTTTCTTGTCCCCAACCTAAGGCCCACCTTCCCAGCTCCACAGAGAAATACCACTTCAGGGATGGTGGCTGGTCTTGCACTCCACCGCACTCCCCGTTAATGTCATTCACAGTCCAGGTTGGTCCATCAGAGCTGAAGGGACCAATTAATCGAGATCCTCAGCCTGCCTGCCAGCCTGTCTCCTGCCAGACCCTTCTTCCACCAGGTCCATGTGGCCTGAAACTTCTACTCAGAGTTTCAAAAGTACAAATCACAGTTTGGGGACTGCAGTTAGCTTAAAGATGCACAAAGTAACATTTCTACCCTCAAAGCTCTGACATCTGGGAGAGACTGGGAGACAGAACTCTGAAAAAAGGTACAGTGATCTCCTGAAGTTGCTCAGAACGGGCTCCCCAAGATGTGCCACTTTGGTGTGTGGATTATTTCAACCTGAGGTCAATCGAGGCCAGGCAGTCTCAAGAGAAACTTTTACCACTCAGCTATCTAGAACAATAAAAATTGGGGGTATGACCCAGAATTAAGGTTTTAACCAGAAATAAACTTTCTATTGGAGATGCCTAGCTATATGGCAGGGAAAACATCTAATTACAGAGCACCTGGTCTTCATCACTCCCATGTCACTCACGGAATTAGAATTCTCCTTCTCTACATAGGTTCTCCACATGCATATAATGAATTGGCCTTTATCTCCTACTAATCTGTCTGATGCTATTTTGATACTTAATCAACCGGAGAAGACTCCAGTGGTGTAGGGGGGAATTTTCCCTCTACTCCTACCCCATTCCCTTTTAAAGTGTTACCTGTATGACCAATGTTTCTTTTTTTTAATGATTTTTAAAAATTTATACAAGAACTGGGGTACAGGTCAGATGTGCAGGAGAGTGAGAGGATTCACCAGACACAGAGCGGGGAACAAAACAGGCAGACTGACGAAATACACTGCTGAGGGGAGCAGTGGGAGAGACAGGAGAGGTCTGCCCCACCATGGGGGTTGTTCTGCGGCCAGTGGGGATCGAACCAGCATTGCAGAGGCTGCGGAGAGCTTCACAGCGCTGTGCTCAATCGCCTGCACCACCAGGGAGGCCCTGACCAATGTTTTTTATCTTGAAAGATACTCTTTCTGCCACGGAGCAGGACATTCCCCTCTGAGACAATGTTCAGGTCTAAACATTCTACCTTCACCCCACCTCACCCCACCCCACCCCAGACTGCAGGGTGGGTCCTGCCTTTGTGTTTGCCTTGGGAAAGTGGCTTCAGAGAGCAGAAGACCGTCTCTCCTGAAGGCCCTCTAAGTCTCCACCCAAAGGACAGAAACTGCTTGTGATAATAAGTGAATTTTTGGGGTTCCAGAAATCTGAGCACTCCATCTCGGGTCACCAGGGAGTATCTGCACTAC